CATACTGAGCCTCTTTACTTCTTGACTCCTGGTTCTGAGCACCTTCACAGCTCAGGTCACCCAGCTGATGTCGGGGCCTCAGCATCCCAGTTTTCTGAAGCAGTGGTAAGCGCAGCGGCAATGACACAAGCAGCCTCAATAGCATGGTATTGAGCTGCAGTGTTGCGAGCCGCGATACGGGCAAGACTGTCGACACTGACATGCCTAAGTCGGACAAGAAAGTCAGAACCTCAGAAGCTCACGTTAGGAGCCTGAAGGATGACCAGTACTATTCCTTGGGGTTCCTTCGTCAGTCACCTCAGAAACTCGATTCTAATCATCAATGTCCCTATATTATATTCATCCGTAAACCTTAACTTAACACCCACACCTTTCAATCCGGTGCTCCATGCTCACCCAAAGCTGCAGGCCAGAGCATCGAGCCATCATTGTAGTAGGCAGAAGCTCAAAGCCCAAAGACTTGTCGTGCCCATGCAAGCTTAACTCTGGACCTAAAGCACTTACCTCTGAAGCCTAAGACCTTCCGTGCAACTTTAACTATGCAACTAAACGAAAACTCTGACATGCCGCATCTGTCATGCGCTACAAACCAAGAATCCCAAACTTCACAAGGCCAGCGACGGTCGGTGTGCTCCGTCGTGTTGTGGCACTGAATGCACTGGAGCTCCGCTTGGGACTCAGGTCGTTTGCCGTGTGCTGAGCTGCTAAGTCGATGTTGGATTGGACTCCGAAAGGGAGATGGCGTCCGGAGTAATATAGCAACGGTAGAATCAAGTTTTTGGTCGAAACAATGACATTTGGGTTTGGGGCGTTGCTTATTATAGGGGTTTTTAGGTACCCTACTACTACTACTACTACTACTACTACTACTACTACTACACCTGCTACTGCTACTGCTACTGCTACTGCTACTGCTACTGCTACTGCTCCTGCTCCTGCTCCTGCTCCTGCTCCTGCTACTGCTCCTGCTCCTGCTCCTGCTCCTGCTCCTGCTCCTGCTGCTGCTGCTGCTGTTCTACTGCTACTGCTACTGCTACTGCTACTGCTACTGCCACTGCCACTGCCACTGCTA